TAGACAGGTTTCACTGTATTACTGTGTTTTCCGGGGTGTGCTACTCACACTGGAGTTTCAACCGCAACCCCCCCCCCCCCCTTTCCGAATGATTGCCAATTAGGTGTAGAACGTCTGTACTGTTGGTCAGTGTTGTGCACTGTTATCACATGAGCTGATTGTAAATTAACTGGTGGTGTTAGTGGATACTATGGCATAACTTGTAGGTCTTTGGTCCTCTTTTCTTCTTACAATAATTTACTAAAGGGAGATAATTCTGTAGTTAAGGAAAAGTGGGTAGAAGCCTTGGCAGAACTGGAGAGAATCAAGAGCGCAAAGTAAAATGGTCATATGTGCAAAGATTAAATTGGTGAGGTGGAGTGAGCAAGTTTTGTGATTTTTCCTGGTGTGAGTCAGTTTTTGTTTCAAGAGTTCGACTTTTGATAGTGTAATATCGTGCTTCTGTTTTTGTTCTTGTCACTGTCGCCATCGCCGGAACCTGTGTCGTTGTCATTGTTGTTGATGGTGGTGAGGGTGGTGTTGTTGGTGCTGCTGCTGCTGTCACTGCTGCTGTTGCTGTCGCTGCTGCTGTTGCTATCGCTGCTGCTGCTGCTGCTGACACTGCTGCTGCTGACACTGCTGCTGCTGCTGTCACTGCTGCTGTCACTGCTGCTGCTGCTGTCACTGCTGTCACTGCTGCTGTTGCTGCACTGCTGCTGCTGTCACTGCTGCTGTTGCTGTCGCTGCTGCTGTTGCTATCGCTGCTGCTGTTGCTGCTGCTGCTGACACTGCTGCTGACACTGCTGCTGCTGTTGTTGCTGCTGCTGTTGTTGCTGCTGCTGCTGCTGTTGCTGCTGCTGTTGTCGCTGCTGCTGTTGCTGTCGCTGCTGCTGTTGCTGTCGCTGCTGCTGTTGCTGCTGTTGTCGCTGCTGCTACTGCTGCTGTTGCTGCTGCTGCTGCTGTTGTCGCTGCTGCTGTTGCTGCCGCTGCTGCTGTTGTCGCTGCTGCTACTGCTGCTGTCGCTGCTGTTGTCACTGCTGCGGCTGTCATTGCTGTTACTGATGTCACTGCTACTGTTGCTTCTCTTCTTGCTGTTGTTGTCGATCTTTGCAGAACATTCACAACATGTTGGTGGCGGTATGTGCAGCGTAGGTGATGACTGTGTGTCTGGCTTCACATGCAGCAATTCAGCATGCACTGGTAAGAAGTCGACTAGGTCACCATCTTAACAGTCTGCCAATCTCCACCACCTTCTTCTACAGAGCCACTACTAGACCAGCTTTTACTTTTGATACTCACTAGGGGAGCCTGCTTTCTGGATGAATGCTTATCCATAACTACCCAATGACCTTTGAATGTGAACATTTCTTCTAGGGCTGCAACGGGTAGAGGTTTGGTCGGGTAACGAGTTCGGGTATTTCTATCCGGGTAGCATGGGTACCCTATCGGGTATTTTACTTAATACAATGAGTCTGCACTTGTGCTACATAGAAAGTGTACAGAAAGCACGTAGCCGTGCTTTTTACATGCACCGTTGAGAAAACCCTCCCCCCCCCCCCCTCTCTCTCTCTCTTATCCCCTCTGTCGTCTACATGTATCAAAGGAGGCGAAACTGCCTGTTTGTGGTGCAAAGTTAAGTAAACTTCTACAACAGCAACTGTACTCCAACTACCCTATCGGGTTTTCAGGAGCAAACTGCTCCCCGAATACCCGCTCTAATCACGGGTAGCAAGGGTACCCTACTACTCGTTGACACCCCTCGTTTCTTCCCGAGTTATTCGTTCGACGAGAAAGCAAGCATACAACGAACACACTACCTTGCAACTTTTCCATATGTGGACATGCTTCATCAACATATAATCATTTGCGCAGGCTCCAAGTGCAAAGGCACAGCATGTAGATTTATGAATGCCTTTACAGCAGCACCAAGACAATCTGATAACTATAGGCCTGATGGGTGCTAAGCTTAATAGTGTCAAGTCGGCGAAATAGCACGAGCTCCAGCGTGTTGTGCTAAGCTTGTTGTGACAAAGATTCAGTTCACGAAATACAGAGTTGGAGAAGTGGACGTACAAGGAGTACATGAGCAATCCCAGAACCAATGCCTCCCAGTCTCAATGCTCGAAATTCACAGGGTCCTACTGGACACAAAATTAATACCATCAGCTGATCTACATCGAGAATAAGAGGCTGAAAAAAATGTTTTTACTCCGAGTTTCACTCACTAAGCGATCATCAGAATTGGGCGGGCATTGGGTACCCTGTAAGAAGACTGTAGAGTCTGTTGGGAATGCCCAAGTAAAATAATAAAATACAATACAATACAAAAACAGTCAGAAAACAGTCTTTTCATGCTCCTATTCTTGCTAGAACTAGCTCTGCCTTTCGGTATCGAGCATGCTATTGGACGGCCTGGAACTTCTCCTTTTTTCACCAGCTGTCTCACACTGCTCCTCCTTGTCATGTGTGTAATGTTGTGTATTCAGATGTGAATGAATGTTCTTCGGGTGCCAGCTTGTGCCACGACGTTGCCAGTTGCAGGAATAGTCCCGGCTCGTATCAGTGCTCGTGTCAGGCGGGATATGGGGGAGACGGCCATCATTGCTTCAATCTGGATGAATGCCTGCTGGGAACACACTTGTGTAGCAACAGCAGTGCGGGCAGCGGAGCAAGAGATATATGTGACGACACAGTTGGTTCGTACCAGTGTCTGCTGCCGTCGACATTACCCGTCACTACCTCCACGCAACCAGCAACTACACCGACAGCAGCCACATCGACAGCAGCCACATCGACAGCGGCCACATCGACAGCAGCCACATCGACAGCAGCCACATCGACAGCAGCCACATCGATAGCAGCCACATCGACAGCAGCCACATCGACAGCAGCCACATCGACAGCAGCCACATCGACAGCAGCCACATTGACAGCAACTACATCGACAGCAGCCACATTGACAGCAGCCACATCGACAGCAACCACCTCAATAGCAGCCACATCGACAGCAACCACACCGACAGCAGCCACACCGACAGCAACCACATCGACAGCAACCACACCGACAGCAGCAACATCGACAGCAACCACATCGACAGTAACCACATCGACAGCAACCACACCGACAGCAGCAACATCGGCAGCAACCACATCGACAGCAACCACATTGACAACAACCACATCGACGGCAACCTCTGCATCTCAAACGCCCGCGCCCACTGTAACGATACGATCAGACGCAACAATGACAATGAATCCTGGACATTTGATTACAGCACAAGTGATCGAATTGCCTGGCACGATATTGCCTGATGCGGACACAACAACAGTGGCGATGCCAGCAAATGGTTCAACCGAGATGACAACAGTTACATCAGCCACAGCGTCACAACTAACCTCTGGGTTTGCACCAACATCAGTACCGGGCACGACAACTTTGGGCGCGTCATCGCCGTCTTCAGCTCCATCATCACCGACTCCAGCTCCATCATCACCAACAACAGCGCTGCCTTTAACAACTTTAACTTTGCCATCGGCAAATAGTCTACAACCAGCACCAACAACTGAGTCATCTGGAACTGGTCAACTACCAGCATCACTAATTTTGCCATCACCAAGTGCTCTACCGACAACATCACCTTGGCTATCGGGGAATTCCCTACCATCAACAGAATTGTCCTATTCATCAACAATTTCAGCTCCGTTATCGTCAATATTGCCAACTTCAATCCTGCCATCTCCCACGTCTGTGCAACCTTCAACAAGATTGACACAGCCATCAACGACTGCAACTCTGCCGTTGACGAATTCGCACCCTCCGGCGTCCAGCTCAGCCATCCCAGCATCCACTACATCATCGACAATGACAACACTGGCAAATCCGTCCGTGTCACCATCAGAACCTCCGTCACCAACAGCAACAGCAACACCAACGCTATCAACATCCTTATCTACACAGCAGCAGCAGCAGGGTAGCACGATAGCGCTCATACACACAGCCAAAGCACATACCACCATGCATCTAACGGATTATGAAACGTCGACACTGGTGCAAACATCACCGCTGAAAACATTCTCCCAACCATTACCAACTAAAATGGATAACAACAGAACAATGGTGTTGTCCTCTCCATCAAGCACTCTACTGAACTCCTCCGCTACCAGTACAGCTGCTAACACCGATACTAGTACAAGGCGGCAGAATCTATCGGGAACAACTAAACAAGGTAGGATTGGAGGGGCTGCCTGATAAGTGTGTGTGTGTGTGTGTGTGTGTGTGTGTGTGTATGTGTGTGTGTATTATGTGTGTGTGTACGCGTGTGCATGTGTGTGTGTGTGCGCGTGTATGTGTGTGTGTGTGTATGTGTGTGTGTGTTTGTATGTATGTGTGTGTGTGTGTGTGTGTGTTTGTATGTATGTATGTGTGTGTGTGTTTGCGTGAACGTGTGTGTGCGTGTGTGTGTGTGCGTGTGTGTGTGTGCGTGCGCGCATTCCTGCATGCATGCACATAGGGATGGGTTTGTGTGTGCCTGCATTCACGTTTGTTCATGTGTGCGTGTGTGTCTGCGTGTGCTCCAAAATGCTGTGACATGTTTGATAGGCACAACCGTGGAAAGCACCACCAGCCCTAGAGATCCTCCTCCGGTCACAGATCACACTGTCTCTTGGATCATTATCATCTCGTCGTCTGGGTTTGTCGTTATCCTAGCTGTCATCTTGTCGGCTCTGGTCTGCTTGAAACAAAGCAGGAAGCTCAAGCTGACGGAGAGGAAGAGTAGCCACATTGCATTGATGTAAGTCATACTAGTATGGGAAACATGCAACGTCATGCACCTGCAGTTGAACACGTACGATCGCAAGAGTGTCAGGCCCCCATTCACATTCGGCCAGACATTCACTAGTACACGCTCTGACATTACACGAGGAAAAACATGATGATCCCTTTTTTTCACGAGCATACGCACATGAGAGAAAAGACTACACATCATAGTCATAATATTACAAGTACAAAATATGATATACATGATGTAATGCATGACGCAATGCATGACGTAATGCAAGACCTAGCAAAGAGTACAACACAACGAGTGCTCAACTGGACGCTATCTCAGTTCACAATAGATATTTTACATCAGTTTTTCGCTTTATCAGCTGCACCTTGATCATAGGGAGTGGTGGCATTCCTCGAATGCAAAACGAAACTGACTCAGACTAACTGGGCCACACATGAGCTGTGAAAACCTTGCGTGGCAATTTGGCTCACAAAAGTTTCTAGGGCTTATCTGATCCCTTGCTGGAGAATCATTGCCCCACAAGCACGCAACAATCCATCCAACTGGCTGGCTGGCTATACACATAGAGTGGCTGGACCATTCTGCCTGTCTGCCTGTGTGTGTCTGCCTGCATACATGTCTGCCTGCATACATGTCTGCCAGAATGTCTGTCTGTGTGTGTGTGTGTGTGTGTGTGTGTGTGCGTGCGTGCGTGTGTGTGTGTGTGTGTTTGTGTGTCTGTCTGTCTGTCTGTCTGTGAGTCTGCCCATCTGCACCGATGTTTGTCTGCATGTGTGTCAGTATGTGTGTCTGTCTGTCTGACTGCATGTATGCATGCCCTTCCACCTGTGTGTCTGTCTGTATTATATGTGTGTGTATGTGTTTGTGGGTGTGTGTGTGAGTGTGTGTGTGTGTGTGTGTGTCTGTCTGTCTGTGTTTGTGTCTGCGTCTGTGTATGTCTGCAGGTGTATATGTCTGCATGTGTGTATGCCTGCCTCCATGTCTGTCTTGCAGAGGCTTGATTTTCCACACATGCATGCCCAGTTTCCCACCGTAGCAGGAGGGGGCAGTAGTTAACACCAGTCTTTCTTCTTCTCTTACCATGCTCTCACATGCAGGGAGAAACCCACGGTGCCGGTGACGTCTGATTTCGTGAACAAGTCTGCCAGGTCCAGCATTGACACCGTTGTTGACATTTCTACTCCGCAAACGGCCGCTAGGTCGTCAATGACTTTATCATATCAAAACAACAACCCATTAAACGGCCGTGGTGCCAGCAACGACGACAACAACAACAATTATGCCATCACCCGCAACGATGGCATCATGAACATCAATGCCATCAGCAACCACAACGCCATTACCAGCAGCAGTGCCCGCAGCAAGAACGGCAACGGTAGCAACGTAAACCATGCTGAGAGGATGAGCAAAACTCTGAGCAACGACAGCGATCACCTCAGCAGCTGGAAACCCAGCTGGCGGCAAGAATCGATTGCCTCTGATCATGGTTATATTGATCCATCGTGCATCCCGCAAAACTTGCACGGCAGTGGTTCCGTCATGAGCTCTTCAGACACGGAGCACGAACCACTAGCCAAAGCTAAAAGCATGCATCCGGGTGCTCGTTCAGCCCACACGGGGAATGCTCGCGGGCCAAAGATTCGTCGTGCAATGTCGCTCAAATCCGTGGGCCAGGTATCCGGGACGTATCTGGAAGTACAGTTTGACCCGACTATACCCTTACCCGGAGGAAAAACCGACGGCCAGATGAAGAACATCAGCAGTGCAATGGCGGGACACTTCTTTGCTAACAGTGCATCGATTCAGCGAGATAAGCACTGCTACGGTATGGAGAGCGGGCAGAAAGGTATGCCAGCGGCCAACACTAACTATGGGTATCAATGCATCGATGCAGGAACTGCAGGACTCACAGTACAGCCAAATGATCAACGCAAACCAATGTTCTCACAATCCGTTCCAAGGAGCATGGCACAGCTGGAGGGGCGGTATGATACGTTTTCTCCCTTGGCCGGCAATAAGGAGCACCCCGCGGCAATGCACGCGTGGTTACAGCAGCAGGACTCATACCGCACTGAACAACACACGGCGGCGGCGGGCCAACTGGCGAGAGAGCAGCCAGGCCTGCACGGTGCTGGCACGGTGGGCTTATCACACAGGTCCATGCACACCTCGAGCAGAGCACTTGCACACACAGACACAGCGCTCCCGCCCCGCTATACCGAGGAGCAAGAACGCCACGTCCCTCAGTCGCCACCCGTTCCTCCAGGTGATGAATACCATGGCAAGAGGGCAACGGAGGAAACTAGTGACATGCCAGTAGGGGGCTGGAGCTATCTCTTTGAGCCACCGCCACCTAGGTCTCAACGAACGCATGGTTCTCTCAACATGGGCACAAGTGGTGGGTTTGACCAGCAGGACAACACCACTGCTAGCCGGGGAACAAAGACAACGATGCCACACCAGGACAGTGCAGCTAGCACCACCAATGCAGCCACCGACAGGCAAGCCTCTTCAAACGTGCATCAGCCACGTAGGAACAGCAACACGAACCCTAACAGTGCTCCGCCACGCAAGAACAGCATAACGGTCCGAAGTCAGCAAAAGCACCGCGCCAGCTTGCGCTCCGAGATCAGCCTCCGGTCGGGGGCCATAATGAGCGTAAATGAAGAGGACGCTGCATTCGGCGGGTTTAATGGGGAGTTCCGTGACCTCTCAGCCACTTTCACCGGCGGTCATTCCGAGCTACAGTGCCAGGCTTCGAGTGGAGTTATATCTGATTCCTATAACCTCAAGGTTGCACGGCAAGTATCACTGCTCAACTGGCAAGAGCGTCAGTATCAGAAGCAACTCCCCACCCAGCCAGCGACAAAGGGTCGTACACTATCAAACGCTGCAACGACTTCCCGTAAGCAGCACAAGGCATTGCCGCAGGTTCCACAGAGGGGCAAGTCAGCGCAGAGGCACCCGTCAATTGGTGTCGACGCAGATGACTATGCGTCGTACGGACAGTGTTTTGCACCATTTGAAAACAGACGCGCGAGCGCCACCGATCGACCACGGCCTCAACCGCGTGCTGGATCACGGCGAGTAAGCGAACCTGTGCCGCCAAGGATGCGTTTATCAGATCACAGACTCAGTGGCGATGCCTCTCAGTCTGCAGCACCTGCCAAAAATTTGCTAGAACACATCACACAGCACGGCCAACCCGGCGTGAAAGGCGTGTCACTCGTCTTGCCGACTGCATGCGAAGAGAACGATGCAGACCTCTACAAGAGTCCCCTGGGGGCCAGGTTCAGCATAGGGAATCTGTCGGTGGCCAGCGCGAACTGTCAACATTCTGCTCTCTATGGCAACCTGCCTACACCAACCCCCAGCACGGCGGGTGGTGAAGCCGGCGTCAGCTACACGCTCGTCAACAAGTCCAGGACGGACTTCTACCGAACTGCGTCGCCCATTCAACGCGTCACCGTGGACACAAGAGGTGCGTCTCCAGCACCCGCGTCGACTGGTATCTCTCCATACAGCACGTCGGGTGCAATGCTCTCAAATGGGGACACTGCTGCCCGTGGATCGGCGAAAAAAGGCGAGTCGAGTGCCGCCCCTCGACTACTCGCTTCTGCTCCCAACAACGGCGGCCACAGTCCAACACGAGCTGCAGCAGCACCCCAGGTGGCTGCTGCACCGTCTTCGGTTGGTGAGTGCGACGGAGCGGGTAACCGTTCTGCATTGCCGCGTACTGTCTACGCATCCGTGGAGCGAACGAAACACAACAAGCCCGCGGCCGTCAGCACAACAGGCACCAGACGTGTTTCAAACAAAGACGACGACTGCGGTGGCAGTGCACCCGCACGCAGAAAACCTGCAGTGGGACCCCGAACAACATCTATCCGCCATTGATAGTTATTCTGTACGCCACCTGACAGCATGCCACCTGACGGCATGCCCCCTGATCATTGCAAATGTCCCTCAGGAGCAGCCCATGTGCAGCGTGTCTTTTATACTGCATTCTACATGTAGCCGACTGCAGTTATTATAGAGGACGACTTGTTGTATTTCTCGACTCGTGCCTGCCTATGAAACTTGTCGCTCATTAGAAATCATTATGTAAGCCAGCTACAACGCAGTGGCGCCTGATACCGGCAGAAACCAAGCCACCACTACATACAGCTGCTAGGTTGATACTAGCTAGTCTTTTGCACAACATGGTGTGAAAACCGCCAAGTAAAGTTAGCCTACAAATTTTTTTGGTGTGTGAAACGTGTATCTCCTGCAGTTAGCTCTGCTAACATCTACAGGCAACAGGTGCCACTTTGTCCTGCTGCATGGAAGCTAGATCACAGAGAACTGTGAACAATTCCAGCTATATTCTTCTCCCCGATAGAAGCGAAAGTGACCGATGATGTATTCCGGGATCGCTTTTCTATTCTAGTTTTCCGACACTTCTCACCATATCACTTATGCATTCTTTCTAGTATTTTATCTTTTCTCATGATTTGCTTACATTCCTCCTCCTCCTCCTTCGTTCTTCGATTCATCTCAATCTGTACATACCAATGATCATATTAGTATTAGGAATCGCTTTCTGAGCACAATAGGAAAAAATGCATGTTTCACTCCTGCTTTCTTTGTATTTAGGGATTTCATCTGTTCTATTTTGTCAACATTCCTCGTCCTTCGTTTCTTCAATTCATCTCAATCTGCACATACTAGTAACTAGGAGTCACTTTCTGAGCACATTATCTGATTATAGGCAAAGATACAAATCTGGTGAGTGTTTTCTAGGAATCTCCTGACTCTCATCTGGTGATGAAAATAGCTGGCACATATGCGTGTTTTCTTTCTGTTGAGGGATTTCGTTTTTTTCTGTTTTCAACCGACCTGGTTCTTCCTTTCATCAATTCTTGCAATCTGTACATACCACGAAGTAATAATAATTATTAGGAATCACACGCTACGAGTTTAGTACGTTTTTTTCGATTTTGACAGCATGTTAGTATTATTGTTACAAGGTGAGGACGCATAGTGCTCCTGACTACAACCATAACCCGGTTGGCAGAGTCCCGGTCTTGCGACCATTTGAACCGTATTGGGAAAACCCAGGTTCGGACCCTCTAAACTACCAAGCAAGGCTTCTTTATACTTATTATACCAAGTGTAGTACATGCACTAGTCACTGCAGTATTCTCACTCTTCTTTGCAGTTTTCTTTCTGAGCCCAGTGTAGGAAAAGATGCAAAAATATTACAGTCGACTTCGCTTACAACGAACTCGCATATAGCGAATTTAGTGATAGAGCGAACCCTTGTCCATGTCCCTGTTTGAACCATTACAAAATTGACCCTTCATAGCGGACAGTTTTCGTTTGTAACGAACCAAATCTTGTAGGGCTACATGTAAACCAAGTGCACTCGTACTGTTGTGGGCTGCTTGCCAGTTGTGACTTACTGCTATTATACAGTCATGGTATAGCGTGACTGCTAAACGAACTTCGGCTATAAAGAACTAAATAAAGAACTAATAATAATTCTCCTGCACAATGGTGTTCGTTATAATTATCAGGAGTCGACTGTATAACGTTAAATGGATGGTGCTTTGTCCGGGTTCTCCGTCTGGTATCACGCACATGCAGTCCATGACGTAGGGCTACTGCAACTCTACGCATTGGGCAGTGTCAAGCCTGGCCGACTTTGATAACTCAACTGGAGTCGCAGCCTTTTTGGCTTGCTCTGCCGAGCCACCGTGCTCACACAGCAGCTACATAATTATAGACTTCTGTGTGTGTTATTGTTGTGAAAGTGGACCACAAAGACGCATAATTATAGCTTTCTGACTGGATTGAAGTCTCAACATAGACCGCACCCATCCTCCACATGGCTGCTGATGTTGTAGTGTCCATCCCGAAATGCACCCAGCAGTGATCATACACCCCCTGCATGGAAGATTGAATGTTAGATCATCGTTGACGAGTCGAATGACGACTCACTGTAACAGTTCAAAGAGACAGTAACTGTGGATTCCAAGTTAGTTGCAAGTGAAAGACAACCCACATATACCCGCAATCATCAGATTATGAACTGTGAAACACAACTATAATCAATTTAAGTTGGGTTTCAGTTCCCGTTATGGCAACGCAGGATTGAGTTTTTTTTCAGATTCTTGGCATTAAGTTGGCGTTTTGATCAAATCTTTTTGTATTGAGATATACATAAGAGAGAGATTGGAAGCTTTGTCACAACTCTGAGTTTCACGTATTACTACGATCATCAGGCAACGGGGGGGGGGGGGTGTATTGAGATATATTGTGTCTTATCACTCTTCTATATCGACCTCCACTAATTCTCGTGATCCTTGACTGGTCCTATATTACCCATATCGCCGCAATATCGACCGCTTATATCGACCGCTTGTATCGACCACTTAGGCATTGTAATCTTTCGACTTTGGAGGGACTTAGAATTTTTCTCTCCACTTCAAAAAGAAAAATTGAAAGAAAGAAGACAAAGGAAGAGAACAAGCAGGATTTGAACTCACAACAGTATGAATCTCAAGCAACCCCTTTTACCACCCAGCCACTGTGCTGCAGATGCTGAACTCTGTTGTTCTTACAGTCTTGTACCCAAAATAGGCAACATCCTATGTACACTATAGTACAAATGCTATACTAAAAAGGTTAAAATAGCTCCTAAAGGTTCAAATTTTGGGGTTATGGCAAAGGAATCGTGATAAATAGGATATTGACCTCGACTTCGGTCTATATGGGAAATATAGGCCTCGTAAAAGACCTCGGCGGACCTCGGTCTTTTACTCGGCCTATATTTCCCATATAGACCTCGTCTTGGTCAATATCCTATACATATTATGTAAGCACATTTGCTTTGTCCATACAAGAGACTTTTTCTATCCAACTATAGACCCAGTCAGAAGGTGCAACAGGAAACGAACCCTATGTGGCAATCTGTACGTGACCACATAGGGTACCCTGTAAAAAGGCCTTAGGCCTGTGGGGATTGCCCTATTCAAAATTTAAATAATAATAATAATAATAACTGGCAGTGGCAAGGTGTGAACAATCTGTACCCGTGTGACAACATCTTCTTCTTCTTCTTCTTCTTCTTCTTCTTCTTCTTCTTCTTCTTCTTCTTCTTCTTCTTCTTCTTCTTCTTCTTCTTCTTCTTCTTCTTCTTCTTCTTCTTCTTCTTCTTCTTCTTCTTCTTCTTCTTCTTCTTCTTCTTCTTCTTCTTCTTCTTCTTCTTCTTCTTCTTCTTCTTCTTCTTCTTCTTCTTCTTCTTCTTCTTCTTCTTCTTCTTCTTCTTCTTCTTCTTCTTCTTCTTCTTCTTCTTCTTCTTCTTCTTCTTCTTCTTCTTCTTCTTCTTCTTCTTCTTCTTCTTCTTCTTCTTCTTCTTCTTCTTCTTCTTCTTCTTCTTCTTCTTCTTCTTCTTCTTCTTCTTCTTCTTCTTCTTCTTCTTCTTCTTCTTCTTCTTCTTCTTCTTCTTCTTCTTCTTCTTCTTCTTCTTCTTCTTCTTCTTCTTCTTCTTCTTCTTCTTCTTCTTCTTCTTCTTCTTCTTCTTCTTCTTCTTCTTCTTCTTCTTCTTCTTCTTCTTCTTCTTCTTCTTCTTCTTCTTCTTCTTCTTCTTCTTCTTCTTCTTCTTCTTCTTCTTCTTCTTCTTCTTCTTCTTCTTCTTCTTCTTCTTCTTCTTCTTCTTCTTCTTCTTCTTCTTCTTCTTCTTCTTCTTCTTCTTCTTCTTCTTCTTCTTCTTCTTCTTCTTCTTCTTCTTCTTCTTCTTCTTCTTCTTCTTCTTCTTCTTCTTCTTCTTCTTCTTCTTCTTCTTCTTCTTCTTCTTCTTCTTCTTCTTCTTCTTCTTCTTCTTCTTCTTCTTCTTCTTCTTCTTCTTCTTCTTCTTCTTCTTCTTCGGTAACTACAAGTCATAATAAATATGAAAATGACTGTGAAAGTACAGTGTACATGTAGTAGAAACTTAGATCAGTTTCTAGTTCTCCAGTTGCAAGAACTGGATAGCTTCTGATGGTTGTGTGAGAATTGCCTCCCTGACTGACGTGAAGGTACATAGACGTGTACCTGCTCGACTGCTGTGTCTGGCAGGGCAAGCTAGCAGGAGGTGGGCAGCAACATCAACTGTTCCAGGACAGTGAGTGCAATCGGGTGAAGGTGCCGCCTCAATCTGGAACAAGTACTTGTTCAGCAGGCTGCAGTGGCCAGTGAGCAGCTGATTGAGGATGGTGGTCTCATGCCGGGACGGAGGGCTGCGGAACTTGCTGGTGTTGAGTAATGGCCGGGGGTATGCGGTTGCAGACCGAACTGAAGCCTTGGCAGCTTGGATAGGTATAGCTAATGATGTGACAACATCAAAGGTGATAACAACAGTTAGAAGAGTGACAACTTGGCAGTTGTAGTGTACGCTCATATTAAACAACGTATTCGTGAAATAAGCAGCAGTAGGTAGATTATTATTATTATTAAATTTTGAATAGGGCAGTCCCACAGGCCTAGGGCCTTTTTACAGATTATGAGAACTAAAACGGAAGAATGGAGTATATTCACGCGAAACTTATTATAGGAACAACAGATCCTACAGTCATGCACTGGCCGTAGGCACCGGCCGGGCGGATAATGCCGGCAGAAAAATTGGCAGAATTCGGTACTTTTCTGGTAAGTTTCATGCATGTTTGGTATGTGGATAAACAAATGGAGCAGAATTCGAGGAATTGTCCGCCATAAGGTTTGTATGGTTCTGCCAATTTCACTGCTTTTCGAGCATAATCCGCCGGTGCCTAGTACCATGAGTACTGGGGACACCAAGAGTGGTGATATACATGTACATGACTGTACATTGTACGTGTGAAGAGAGAGGCGCGCGCGTGTGCGTGTGTATACCGGTATGTGTGAATTATTGTGTGTGTGTGCGTATGTATGTGTGTGATCAGTGGGAATATCGCAGTGGGCTGATAACAATTAATAGACGCCAAATGCACCGAGCTGACTATAAGATTATGCTGATGACTCCTTTTCCTGCCGATCAGGATTCTGTAGAGCCTTCCACGTCGGAAGGCTGTTGGTTACTAAAGTAGCGCTTCGGAGATGTGTTGGAGCTCCAACAATAATTGGAGGTGTCAGGTTGTAGACGGTCTCATTTCTCTCACGGTCAGTTTGGTGCCTTTGCAGTTGTTGCACCTTCTGCCTACATAATTACAGTATATACATGTAGTTACAGTGGTGAACAGTTAGTCACACCACTTCCCTTGCACCATACCTCCACGGCTTTAAAATTAACTCATGCCGCTGCCCACAGCCCTCCATTCTCCCCATCAAACTTCAAAGTGCATGACGTTGTTGTTTAGCTAGACGGACGAAACATCTGGAAAATGTAATGGAGGATAGCTACATAGCAACTGGCGTAAGTCTATCCTAGGCAAGCTGGGTAGACCTACTCGTAGACGTCTACAATCATGTTGCTCGTCCAGGAAAGGTTCTTCGCCGGATGCGGCGCGTGCGGCTAGCTGCAGCTGCAACCTAGCTATAGGCCTAGCCTGTCGACTCTTAGGTATTGTATTTTGTAGTTTTTTTGTATTTAGTTTCCTCTGAGACAAAAATGCGATAATACTCATAAAAAGGACACACTTCAGGCTCATTACAAACATCTTGAAAGTTTTTGTCTTCACAAGTATACTTTCAAGCCTTCTCATCAGGTGAAATACAGGCAAGGGAAAAGGAACAGGACCAGTGGATTAAATACAGTAAGAAGGTGGTAAAACAGCGCAAAAAAAAGAAAGAAAGAAGATAGCTAAAGTAAACAGCGAAAATTGCATATATTTTTTGTATTTGTTTTTATTAATTTTTACATCGCAAGTCAAACGGGCAATCATGCCCAATGTTATGATGACGATGGAGAGGAGAAAAGATTAGATATCGGTAACCTGGATAAGTGGAGTGAACAAAAAAAAAAAAAACAGTGAGCCTAGGGATCTCTCAGGGTAAGGATCATCTTAACATTGGCCATGAAAGTGAACTTTCAATGGACGTGTGAATTGAGATGTGGTAGAGCAGGACAACTAGAGGGGAATACTAGGCTGTGAGATCCCGAAGAACATGCATTTTGTATTTGTTTTTTTACTATTATAGTAGTGTAGGTCAGGTAGGATAAGAACTGTGTAGTAAAGGAGGGACTGCGCACGGGTGATGTCTGCTGAGCAGCTCTAATGTGGCCCAAGAC